GTAAGTATTTCGTGTTTGTTTATTGGTGCGACAAACATTTCAAGTACTAGCTGTACAGTAACATTGGACCAATTTTACAATCTCAGTATATGAACAGTAGGACTGTCAGTTGTAACAGTTAAAGATTTATCTAGCAGATAAGAGCACAAAACTTGTACGATGTCAAATTTCCGTACAACCAAGCCATCAAACTTTAACTAAACAAAAGCAAAACAAGTGTAAGTAAATGAAAATGTTTGCACATTGTCGTCTATTTCTGGATCTTTATTTTCCCGCTCTTATAACGTTAGCCAATGGCGAGCGGTGATTTGCCCGCCTTTAGGGAAGGGGTTCCGCCCTCTGCATGTTACAGGGTTCACGTGGCATTTCACTAATTCGGTGTTCCCAAGGACCCCCGTGTGACAGGTTTTCTGTCAGGTTGTGTATACTTTGTTTATACTAGATCTTCATCTAAGAGAGTCTTTGAATGCAGTTACATATATCATGACTGTCAATGAAATAACCCGAATCTATTGAATACCGATATGAATGTATGCCATGTAGTGATCAATATTGCATTGTTTGTTTAATTATCTCGTTCCTTTGTGTCTCTGTTTACGGTAGTGTCCATGTGGAATGAATCGTTTCACAACTGGAAGTGGAATAGTATCTGATTTTTTTATTTCCAAAATAATGTTTTTACTGTAACAATTGGCAACATTGTACATAAAGCCTCTATGTGGTGGGCCCTGGACCGAGCGTAATGCCTCTGTTTACGTCAAGGCAGTGGTGCCACGTATATGTTTGTTTTGATGGTATATTTTATGAGTATCACTACAGTATATACTGCATATAGTGCCATCTTATAACTTTTATGGTGAATCCACTAAACCATGAATAGCAGGGGTGATAAACTCTGGATATGATAATTTAATGACTGGGTTTGGGTGGAGATCTGGCACATCAGAGATTATTGACTGTGATCACGTGGTGTACCTGTGGGTGTCGATTTGGATGTTTGGCTTTTGTACCTAAAACAGCCAAACGTATGGTTGTTTATAAAACTATATTGATAGGGCGCTGCGGACGGACACTGAATTGCGTAACATTGTCTTATGAAACTCAGCAATGTATGTAAATTATGAAATCCATGATGAATGTTTTGTTTTGATCGTACTGAATTTAGTTTTATATCTTCACATTAATCAATTGGGTCATGAGAACACAGTTAACTGAAAAAAGGGAAGGGTTTGAGGAAAACAGGATAGAGATACAAGTGCAAAGACAGCGTAAGAATAGTACAAAGCCCTATACCTGCCTTAGTACATAGATGTACATAAGGCGCAACTATGATTCTTTGTTTACGATTTCCGATGGCTGCGAAATGTAGTGATAATAATCAGTTTAGTATAGTCGATGGAGATCCCGAACATCAAGGGGTGCATTCTGAACGTGTATAGATTGTGTCTTGGTTGCGGTGATGAGGGGAGGATACCTTTAAGGCAGAGTGATGCAGGTGAACCGTGAACTGAAGCATTGTGTGCTGAGTATGGGAAGAACATTGAAATTTTCAAATGTCCTGCTGTCTAGATCATTTGTTAGGATGATGTCATGTCTATGTTTCGCTGGTAAGAGAAAGAAGCAAGCATCTACAAGGTGTTTTGGTTTTCTCGCGTGGTAGATCAATACTTCATGTACCCATCCACCTCTCTCTAACCCTCTCTGCCCTTCCTTTCCTCCGGCTCTCTCTCTCTCTCTCCTCTCTCTCTCCTCTCTCTCTCTCTCTCTCTCTCTCTCTCTCTCTCTCTCTCTCTCTCTCTCTCTCTCTCTTTCTCTCTCTCTCCTCTCCTCTCTCTCTCTCTCTCTCTCTCTCTCTCTCTCTCCTCTCTCTCTCTCTCTCTCTCTCTCTCTCTCTCTCTCTCTCTCTCTCTCTCTCTCTCTCTCTCTCTCTCTCTCTCTCTCTCTCTCTCTCTCTCTCTCTCTCTCTCTCTCTCTCTCTCTCTCTCTCTCTCTCTCTCTCTCTCTCTCTCTCTCTCTCTCTCTCTCTCTCTCTCTCTCTCTCTCTCTCTCTCTCTCTCTCTCTCTTCTCTCTCTCTCTCTCTCTCTCTCCTCTCTCTCTCTCTCTCAGTTTCTCTATGTTTCTGTCTGCTTATTACGTGTGCATATCCTCAAATGTGTTTTCGGTGTAATTGCGGTCTCTCTCTCTCTCTCTCTCTCTCTCTCTCTCTCTCTCTCTCTCTCTCTCTCTCTCTCTCTCTCTCTCTCTCTCTCTCCTCTCTCTCTCTGGTGCTCTCTTCTCTCTCTCTCATCTCTCTCCTCTCTCTCTCTCTCTCTCTCTCTCTCTCTCTCTCTCTCTCTCTCTCTCTCTCTCTCTCTCTCTGTATGCGCGCGCGTGAATGTGTGTGTGTGTGTGTGTGTGTGTGTGTGTGTGTGTGTGTGTGTGTGTGTGTGTGTGTGTGTGTGGTTGGTTGTGCTTGCTTGCTTGTATATGTGTAGCGGAAGTTCGGGGTATGGTCTCAGTATAAATAGATGTATATATTTTTGTATTATGATACCACAGGATGTGTAATAGCTGGCACAGTAAATATAATGGAAATTTAACCTTTCAATAATTATATCTTGAATGTGATGGTTATATGAATATGTTGTCATGAGGAAAATTCGAACTAGTAACTAGGTCATACAGTGTAAAAGAGAAAGCCAAAATGAAAAAAAATAACAAGGCGACAGTGTTTTTAAATCTACTTAAAGCATGATGGATTTGTTTGTGCTTATGCATATGCATGAGGGCTCACTCACGTGCCTCTTTCTACACAACATAAACAAAGGAACGCTTTCATGGGACAGTACTTTGGATCAAATTTGTATTTTTTTCAGTTTTATTCAACGTAATGACATAATTCCGAAATATGCACGTTTATGTTTTTAAAAGTTTGAGATTGTGTAAAATCTTTTCTCATGGAAACAGTAAGTTGGGATAGCGCTCGTTGCTAGGGCAGTGTGTGTGTGTGTGTGTGTGTGTGTGTGTGTGTGTGTGTGTGTGTGTGTGTGTGTGTGTGTGTGTGTGTGTGTGTGTGTGTGTGTGTGTGTGTGTGTGTGTGTGTGTGTGAGAGAGAGAGAGAGAGAGAGAGAGAGAGAGAGAGAGAGAGAGAGAGCTATGATGCACAAGTGTACCGCGCTTTTCTTTAGTGCACACTATAGTGGCAGGGACAATCACCTGTGTTGCCCTTTTTTTCCCTCCCGAATCGCCGGACTCGCTTCGTTCCGCCTCAGCCCTCCCCTCGGATGCATTCCTCTCCGTGGCGACCGAAATCGCGGAGGTTTGGCTCGTCGTTCCCCGTGTTTCTTTGTCCGAGCGCCTTCCTCGCCCGCCGTCTTTGTCTAGATGAAGCTTCCATCTTGTACCCAGTCATCGGGCCAGCGTTTCAGCCTGTCACTGTGCCACCGATCTCGCCCTTAGGCTGCGAGGAGCACGTGGCACCCGTCCTATTGATTTGTTTCCTTTGTTTGCGCGCGTGGACTTGCGTGCGTGCAGCCCCGGCGACATTTGCCCTTAACATTACAGGAGGGCGGCTCTAGGTCTCCCTGGTATGATAACTGTCGCGTTCCCTTGATTGCGGGGGATCTCGGGGCTGCCTGTGCTCCCGGGGGCTTTGTTCGCGGAGCGGGCGTCGTGTTTGCCTGTTTGGCTGCTTTTCTTTCTTTCTCTCTTTCGTTTTCTTGCGGTGATTGGGCTTCGTGGTCCTGGGGTGGTCTTGGGTGTTCGGCTGTTTGGGTGTTTTTCTTTTTCTTTCTTTCTTTCTCGTTTCTTTCTTTGATTGGGCTTCGTGGTCTTGGGTGTTTGGCTGTTTTTCTTTCTTTCTCTCTTTCGTTTTCTTTCGGTGATTGGGCTTCGTGGTCCTGGGGTGGTCTTGGATGTTCTGCTGTTTGGGTGTTTTCTTTCTTTCTTTCTTTCTTTCTTTCTTTCTTTCTTTCTTTCTTCTTTTTCTTTTGGTGATTGGGCATCGTGGTCTTGGGGTGTTTGGTTGTTTTTCTTTATTTCTCTTGTTTTCTTTTTGTCTTTTTTTCTCTCTGTTGAGGATGTTGTTGGTTGATGTTGGGTTGATTTTTGTGATATGGTTGGGGGCGATGTTGATGGTTGTGACATGTTGTTTTTTGTTCTTATTGGTGGTGATTCTTTGTCTTTTTGTGATGCTGATGCCGATGCTGGTAATGCTGGCACTGATTTTGTTATTTGTGATGATGTTTGGTGTTGGCGGTTAGATCATTTTGTTGGTAATTTTGTTGTCACGTCTTTGGTTGAGATGGTGATGTGGATGAGGCGTCTGATCGAGATGAGACCCGGATGAGGATGATGCTAACGGGGACCGTGGTTGGCAGAGGGTGAGTGGCTGGCGTGATTGACAACAGTAATCGCGGTGGCAGGAAAGCGAGCGTCGGCGGTGGCAGCGGAGGGCGTCGAAGGCAGTATCGCTGTTGATGACCGCAGCTTTGTTATTGTTAGCAACCGTTCTGGTATTTGGATAATGTTTGCGGTAACGCTGAAGGTCATGGGGGGTGGGGGGGAGTTATTCTGGCTGGTTTTATGACACGCACGCACGCAAGCATGCACACGCATGGACACACGCACACTTTGTACACACGCACACTCGTGTATACACGTATACTCATGTATACACGCACACGTATACTCGCGCACACGCATACTCTCTCTCTCTCTCTCTCTCTCTCTCTCTCTCCTCTCTCTCTCTCTCTCTCTCTCTCTCTCTCTCTCTCTCTCTCTCTCTCTCTCTCTCTCTCTCACACACACACACACACACACACACACACACACACACACACACACACACACACACACACACACACACGCGCGCACCTCTGCCAGAAAGCAAGAAATAACCAGAACGGGTGAGATCACGCCCCCTCCAGCCCTACCCCCTCCCCCCAAATATTAAGCCGGTGAACCTCATATACGAAAGTTTTAAGTAAATAAGTAATTGTAAGAATTTACGGACGCTTCG